ATTTAGTCCTCCAAGTGTTTGTGATAATGTTTGACTTAAAAGATTTTTATGTTTACAGCAGAGGCAAGAGCCACGTTTCGTGGTTTGAAAAAATACAGAGAGATGGCCCAGCCAGAAATGAAATTTTAGAAGCCGTGTTTTGCTGCTGAGATGTTGAAAATTTTAAACCTTTTTTTTATGTGTGTGATATTGCTTTCAGAAGACCCCACTTGGCTTAAGTTTTTCGGTATCTCTTAGTTACTTACTCCTTTTTTCTCCTAATTCTTCTTTACACTTACTTTCTTTTCATTGACAATTTAAAGTTTTGTGAAACTGTAAAGCTTTGCTTTCTGGCTAGCTCACATTTTTGTCTCTATGCTATGCACACCACACCTTACACCACTCTGACATCACCTATACCATTTCTCAAGGCTTTCAGTTAATGGGTGTATTTTCCAGGGATTTAGACAGCCATCATTGAGTTAATTCTCTTCCATCTTTGTTGCTAGCGAATGATTTGCGGTACTGTTCAAGGTTTTTTTTTTTTTTTTTTTTATGATATTGGTGCTTTGAATTGTATACGTATCTCACTAATTTTGAGCTTATTAATACCGTAAACTAATGTTTAAGGTAAGTATAAATGTTGGCGTCCCAATATTGAACTAAAGAATCAAAGAAGGAACTTTCTTGACGTTAGACAACCCTTGAATAAGAAGTACAAAAACCCATATATGTGGAATTAAGATTAACAATTTTGAAAGAACTTCCCACAAATATATACTAACTAGTATACTTATATCTTTTACTACCATTATTTCTTATGGTGAAAAATCAAACAATAAAGATAGTTGATAAACAAATCTCAAAACTTTTTTTTTACAAACCCGATGACAGGGATAATTGTTTATTAATATCAACGGAAAAAATTCATTAAAATCAATATCAACTGTACGTTGAGTTTATGAAAAAAAACTTGTAAGATTCTTTTCAGCGTAATATTACCAAATCAAAACGGAAGATAAGAGATTCAGAGTTTTTAAGCTATTAACATGGTTTCATTATGTTTGTAAATGTATGGGATATATGATTAATCTTGGTTTGCAATACACATAAAAAAAAAAAAAAAAAGAATAATGATAAATGATAATTATTCTATTAGTACTTGAGAAACATTCATAATAAGTAATTATAATGATATAGAAAAGATGATTGATGTTATGATGGAATGAATGGTGAGATCCAACAAGCAGAATTTAAGCTCAGTACACCAAAATAATGATACTCATTCACTATTTATTAATTTCCCAATTAGGTATTATCAATTCATTATATTTATACATTGTATATAAATAATTAAAAAGATAGGGGCACATGCAATGAAAGAGATATCCAAAATTCTAATGATTCATTGTCAAGTTGTATTGAATTCAAGTAATGAAAATCATAATAATACATCTAAAGATTGTAACAGGTTCCTAAAATAGAAATCCATCCCCTCCTCTTACCCCAACACTCCACCCAAAACAACTTGCCATAACCCAAAAACACACATGTAAATGATAGGAATTAAGTTTTCTGTTCAAATAATGAACATACAGATTCAATCATTCTAATACATGTAAATCTGTATATTCATCTTCAAGTAATATACAAGTTTATTACGTATAAAGTTATACAGTAAAACCTCTTATAATGATATTTTATATAGGAATAATCTCACATAGTCATAAAAATTATAGTTCTAATTTTGGATAGTTATAAATAAGAATAAATTTTATATTGTAATAAGTTATAATTTTTTTAAATTCCGTCTTAAGAAAATGCTTCTACATAGTAATAATTATCTGTATATTGCCAAAAAATATTCAGATTTATGTACATTAAAAGTTTAAGATGAAAAAAATATTTATCTAAAGTATTTGAGTATTGATTTATACTTTAAAGTTGTACCATATCTTTTAACTTCCAGGTACTAACTCGTTAGCATAGATACCTTCTTGTTGAAACCAAAATACTTCTTATATTTCCGTACTAGAGGAATGACTATTTCCCACAAGGTTTGCTTATGACACTTTCCACCCAAATAGTTTCAAAATACCACTTTCCACCCAAAGTTAATATTCCATTACTACCCAAGCCGATTTCGGCGATTCTAGCTACGAAAGTTCTCCCGCACCATCATTTAAACTTGCGTCTCCTCTCTATAAAACCTCTCTCACTTCGCCACCCTTTCTCGACGATTACCGGTTACCACAAAGCTATGGTTTCTTGTTCATAGTTGGTTCCAACTGATTCCGGTGGATTATTTAATCGGTCACCACTATTCAATCCATTGGCATCCCACTATACAAAACGCCTCTCTCATCACTCTTGGTAACTCACTGAACGCCGACTGAAAAGTGAAGTGTATTTTAAGTATTAACAGAATATAAACTTTGGGGGTGAAAACTGGTAATTTGAATTTGGATGGGAGAGTGTCATTAACGCAAACCTTGGTTGGGAAAAAGTCATTTGCTCTTCATACTATCATTTTCATAATTATTTTTTTCTCTACTTGTCTATCTATAACAATGAATTAAAATTCTAATATATACTATTAATGTGAATTTAAAATAAAAATTAAAACAGTAATTTTGTACGTACAACCTCTATTAAATTATATATACAAAAAAAAAAAAAAAATCTTTCTCATAGAAAATTAGAATATACATCAGAAGGTGGACGATGAGTATTTATTTATTTATTTATCTTAATTTTTTTGGGAGGTGGTACGTGTCAAAATGGGTGGAGGGGGAATGATTAGGACGGAAGAAAATAAGAGGGAGGAGAGCGTCGTTTTCAGGGCTCTGATCTTAGGTGAACCGAATGGGAGAGGGAGGGAGGATGAGGTCCTATGTGTCTCGCACGCGTGCACGCCGCGTGGACCCCACGAGTTGACTTTCGCCAAAAGTCTTACTTCTAAGCAGACGCACATTTGATATCTTAGTCTTCTTTTAGTCTCCCCTTTGCGCCTTAATTCAACTCAACAAACCAAAGTCAATTGCCAGTCTCCATCTTTTTTATTTTTTTTTATTTTCTAGGTCAATCTTGATTGTAATTATTCAATTAATTACTTTCTAATTTCATCTAAATATGCATTTTTCTAATTAATTTCTTTCAAAAATGCTTATTTTATTTTCTAATTTAAGCATAATTATCCTAGCTGCATACAACATAGATTTTCTACATGGGCATTCAATTTTTTTTATTTTGGGATTGTTTTTACAAAAAAATATATTTTTAAAGCAATATTTGGAAAAAAAAAAAAAAAAAAAACATTTTGCAATGAAAAATTTCAAACTCAACTATTCATAGTACAAACTCAACAGATTGAACTATTACAAGTCCATGGTCTTGGAAAAAAACCAAACAAAAAATATTGGTAGTCTTGTCACAGAAATTCTAATTAGTTGCTTAAGTTGAAAAAATCCACAGGAATTGAAGGTTTTCTCCAGTTGGTCATAATTCGTGTTCTTCTATCTTTAAACGGCATGATTTTATTATTATGAGTGCTTGAGTTTTTCAATTTGGTTTCTCTTAATTAAGCTCCAGAAGAGAAAAAAATATTTTCTTTACGTATAAAAGAGGGAAACGTAATGCATGCATGGAAATTGTGGTTTATTTATATGTAAATATAAATATAAAAGAATATGGCAGACAAATTAATCCCATCAGCAAAAAATCAACTCCCATAGAAATTGTAAGATGAAAATCAAGTTATCTTGACGCCAAATAGTTTAAATATCTGATAATCAAAATTCCATTATGACTTAATTAAGAGTCACGAAAATTCAAGGGAAATATATGATTTTCACCTACCTCAGGCTCAGCAGAGAAACCGAGTCGAGTCATTCACCAACAAAATTTAAATTTGCTTTTGGTGTCAACTTCTTGATTACGTTTTGCTCTAATTATTTGATTATGATGATTTATCCACAGAAAAATTTTACACTTACTTTCTTGTGGGTTTTTGTGCTTGATGACCAATTGAATGCCAAGTGTGAAACCACCTCACCGTGTGTGTGTATGTATATATATATCCATGGGAGAAATAATTAACAATTGAGGTGTATTATTTAAGAAGTCTTGAGTTCGAGTTCTTAGGTGGTCGAGTGGTTCGATAAGGGCTCTTACCTATATTACTCAAGAGGTCTTGAGTTTGAGTCCTTCCTCGGTTACTAATAGAAATGACCATTGAAGCTTTTATCCGGACGATACTTTTAGAGTCTCGAAAGATTAGTTAACGTGTGTATAAATTGATCCGAACACCCTCGTAAAAATAAAAAAAATAAAAATCTAACAGTTAATATGATCTTATTTAAGATGGGATATATCCAACCTTTGATTATTATTAAGCTATTGTGAATGAAGAGATGATTATAAGAGAATTAAGCTAAGTATAAGTAATTTCATAGCTACAGATCGTAATCCTAAAGTTGTTAAAAAAAGTGGTAAAGTTAGAATGAATAACTGAATAGATACCGCTCCTCTTTCGTAAAAAGAACAAAGTGAGATTGGGCTGCGATCTGCTAAAGAAAACAAAAATTGTTCATTGAGTTTCTGGGGAAAAAACTCGTCTGCATCATTGGGCAATGGGCTCCATGTGCCTGTGGGACGCCAGTTTTTGGCATCAACTTATTTGGCAAAGCAAACCCACCATTTGTCTATTAAAGTAATGAAGCCGAATAAGAAAAAACACAATCAATAATAATCATATAATGAATATTTTCTCTTTTTTCAATGTTAAATACTGGGAGAATTAGTAAATTTTATGGTGTATATGATAAATAAATAAATAAATAAAAAAGAGCCCATTTGGAAAGAAAATAAAAACATAAATATCTGACCTTTTGGCATTTAATATTAAAAAATAAAAGAAATTGAAAGTGAAATGAGGTTTCTCTTTGTCTAATCACACCCTGAAATGTCAACCACATTCCGGTTAGTTCATTCACTTGAACAGTAACTTGAAACAGTTGTTGAAGCTTTGTATATATATATATACATATATATATTTTCGTAATATGCAGCGAATCGTCTCTCATCATTTTATGTAACCTTGAAACCTCCAAGAAACCAAAGCAAGAAGCTCAGTAATCTCAAACAAATTAAAACCAAAACAATCTTCCAAAAGTAGAAACCATCAAGCAAGCCATGGCAGACGAATTCAATACAACTACTAACTGGTGGGATTCTTCAAGAACCCGGTTTGATAACAGTGGATCTTCTTCTTCGTCTTCAGGTCTCAATAGCTTGGGGAGCTTCGGATGGCCAACTGAAATGGTGGATATCAAAGCTAGAACCTCTATAGATTCTTCCGTTTCGGTTTCCGGTAGTTCCGTGGTCTTTCAAGACACCCAAAAGCTGCAACAACCCCCTCAAGATTCTACTTCCCCCGGTGCCGACTTGCATATGATGGGTTTAGGCCTCTCTTCACCATCCATGGAGTGGAACCAAACGTTACTGTAAGATAAAAAAATGATTGTGGACTTGTATTTTATTCTTTTTGTTGTGTTTAATGGAAGCTTTGTGGCCTCATGTTTAATGAGATAAGGTATTGAATTATTGTTTAACTTTTTTATTGGTTTCTTTCCCTTTCATTTTTTCAGTCGGGGTGATAAATCTGAGAATAGTTTTCGCTCCATGCTTCAAGAGAACTTGAATTCGAGTGCAAATTATCAGCAAGAAACCGGGATGGGATCGACTCCAGTTCATTGGAGATCAGAGAAATTATTTTCCGGGGTGAGTGGAGATTCATCAGTGACGGAGTTCAAGCAAATCAACAGAGGCTTTTCATTAGATCAACCTCAGTTTAGTCCTCATGGCGGGAGCTCCAGTGACAGCACCGTCACATGTCAAGGTTTGCCGTCAACTTTCCAAATGGATTCATCGGCTTTGTACGGTAGTCCTTCAACTATTTTACAAGGAATATTAGGCGCGCCAGAGAATAATAATAATCAGCCACACCAATCTTCCATGAATTATCAATACGGCGGCGCAAGTAGCTATGCCATGAACACAAATCAAGAGCTACTTCCTTCATGGTCCAAAGTTCCTCAATTCTTGAGAACTTCACCACCAAAACAGCCGCCGCAACACAGCCAGCTACACTTCTCCAATAACGCTCCATTCTGGAACGCTTCCGCCGCTTCCATGAACGACGTTCGATCCTCAGGCTTTTTCCCAACGTTGCAAACACCATATGCAACACAAAACTACGAGGAAAAGCCCAAGGTGATTAATCAGTATCAACCATACGCATGATTTCTTTTTCTTCTCTTCTTAAGATTCATTCATGATTAGGGTTTCGAGAGTATTTGATTGGAACATTTTATTTCTTTGGTTAATTATGTTCAGCATGCCATATCTGAAGTGCGGGAGTCAAACACAGTGGTGAAGAAAAGTAACAGTGGAAGCGAAGCTGCATCGAAGAGGCCTCGAAACGAAACGGCGTCCCCTATGCCGGCTTTTAAGGTATTGAATTATTAATTATTAGTTGATAAAATTAAACTTTTCTTGATTTGAGATTGAGAAGAAGGAACTTTTAAGCTTTAAAATGGATTTATATAGAGAAAAGACATAGATGAGAATCAGTAGCTTTGTTCTTTAGGTGAGGAAAGAGAAGATGGGGGACAGAATCACTGCACTCCAACAATTGGTTTCACCTTTCGGAAAGGTAAATTAATTGGTTTCTGATGATGTTAAATTTTTTTTTTTTTTTATTCTTCTTTAATTCTGATGCTGAATTCACGAAAGATTCCTAATTTTATTAATCTCCTACTTGTATTGTGTATACATTTTGTCAGACTGATACTGCCTCAGTGCTATCCGAAGCCATTGAATACATCAAGTTCCTCCATGAACAAGTCAGTGTAAGTTCCATTAAAGCTTTGTCATTTTCATAATAATAATAATAATAATAATACTAATATGATATCATGATGACTTAACCATTTCGGAATAAATTATTTCAGGTTTTAAGTACTCCATACATGAAAAATGGAGCTCCCAATCTTCAACACCAAGAGGTATCTTTCTGTTAGTTTTCCCAAAATTAAAGCTTTAACATAATCATAGTTCTTTCAAATTAATGATCATAATATATGTCTTTTCTTGATTCTGATTCAGAATTCTGAGAAGTCTAAGGACAATGAAGGACCGAAACAAGATCTTCGAAGCCGGGGACTGTGTTTAGTACCAGTTTCAAGTACATTCCCAGTGACACATGAGACCACAGTTGATTTTTGGACACCGACATTTGGAGGAACATTCAGATAGAGGAAGAGAATTTGGTTGGAGAAAAAAATTTGTCTCATCAGCATGTAAACATCTTTGACAAGTTTAACCCTAGCCAAGCCAAGCCAAGAATGGGGAGTTGATATGAAGAAATTGAAGAAGAGAAAGCAAGGAAGCAAGAAGCAGAAGAAGGCTAATCTTCTCATGAAAAACTGTAGAAAGAAATCTGTAAAAGAGAGAGAGGAAAAAAAAAAAAAAAAAAAAAAAAGATTAGATCCCTCAAAGTGAAAATGCCATTGTTGGGGCAACTTCAAGGCAAAATGATGTAAGTTTGCCCAATATTTGGGAGGAATGGGAGGCATATGAATTGTTGTAATAATTGAAGAATTATGATGATTTTTAAGGTTGGTTATAGTGGGGGTTCTGATTTTAGGAAAAAGAAAGTTGTTAAGAGAGATTAGATTTTCTGATAAATTTGTTGTAGCATTATCATCAAGGTTAAATAATAAATTAATTAAGAGACATTCTTGAAAAGAGGTGGCATTGGCAATAGGGTAGCCAGGTAGCTTTTGTTTAAGAAAACCTTCAACTAGTTGAAGGGGAAGAGGGGAAGGAATAATTGAATTCCAGAATAGCAGTGAGTGTGGGGATGAGACTTGATTGGAAATTTCACTTTTGATTTGTTTATGTGTTTGGAATATATGTTAGTGGGAAGTCAGAAGGTGACCCACTTCACTCCTTTCAGGTTTTATTATTAAAATTTTTAACATCAGAAAAAATAATGAATGTGCAGATGCTATCACAATTTCCTTTTGTGCTTTTCATCCAATGGTCACACCACCTTCCATTGGAAGGTTAAGATACAAGCCAAACCCCCCTCTCTCTCTCTCTCTTGGTAATCGGAGTGTTCGGACCAGCTTGTATGCACCTCAACTAATTTTATGGTTCATTGAACACCCTATAAGCTCAAAAGACCATATAAATTATAATGTTATTGTGGTAAGTAACCCTAATAAAGTTTGAACTCAGAAACTCAAGGAAGTAAATAAAACTCCTTGACTGCAGGACAACCCCTTGGAGTTCTCTCGCTCTTTTTCATCTTTTAACATCTTGTTATCCATACATAAATATATTATCTTCATCTTCTCTGTATTTTTGTTTCAGTGGACTTGTCAAAACCATTCACACATATTTATATGGTCCTCATTTTATCATCATCATCATCATCACATCTCCTATATATATATATAACTTTGATGTGTTTTTGAATTCACACTTTATAGAGCTATGAAATATTATATATATGACTAAAGTAGTAGTAGGTGAAATTATTCTTGATGTTGAATATGAAAATATCAGTACTATAAACCATTTATATCAATCGCTATTATTTATTTTGTTTTTTTTTTTCTCAAATTTAATAATCTTATGTGGTATTATATGTGTTCCGACGCTAATTTTATGTTTTTTCATGTAAAGTTTGCATCAGAAATACACTATTTTTATGTTTTCTGATGCAAGTTTTGTCTCTGAAACACGCAATTTTTAATATTATTAATATAAAATGAATCTCACCATTATTGATTTTTCTGTAATATTTTGAATGAAATAGTAATAATATTCTTTTAAGATTATTAATTTGCAACATATAAATCATCTGAAAATTGGTGTTTTGAAGATGACATATATATATTCTTTGGGTAATTAATATTAAAAAGAAAAGAGTAAATTAATTTAAAAAAAGTGTGAGTGAGTGTGAAGACTAATTCAAGAATATTCCCATAAAGTGAAATTAAAGGGAAGGCATCTGAAGGAAGAAATAAAAAGCTTAATATATATAAGCACACTAATGATGAAGCTATCAAAAAGAAAGAACAAAAATAAAAAAGCAAAAGATCTTTCTTCTCAAATCTACTTCATTATTATTTAGCATCTCTTCTTGCTCCCACTTTCTCTCCTTCTTATTACTTTTCATTTGCACCCTTTTTTTTTTGAGATAACCAAGGGTGTTCAGGCCAGTTTACACGCATTTCTCAGGACCTTGAAACTAATGACTGGATAAAAGCTTCAATGGTCACCCTTATTAGTAATCAAAGAGAGACTCAAACTTAGAACCTCTTGCGTAATACACTCATTGCCTCAAAACTTGTGTTTCAATAACAGACCCTTATTTCTTGCAACAAAATCTTTCATCATTTTTTATTCTACTCTAGTCTTCTGCTATTCCTTGTGACTTTAAGATGACAAAAGATTGTTACTCTTCAAACTTTAGTTATGTTCTTCTTTGTACATTGGTTCCAAGATGAGTTTCAATACTATTGTTGGGAAGCACTTTTTACCAAAGCAATTAACGGTCAATTTGGCTTAGCTAATTAATTTCCCATTGAAAAAGCACTTCTTCTGCCCAACACCATTATTGAAGAATGGTGTGTAAAATGCGATATCAGTCAATCATGTGCTTCACATTGAAGTCTTCACTCAGGAGAAGAAAGAAAAATTCAACTCAAATTTTCCTAGAAAAAATCATAGCACGAGAAAAATATTCCCATTTCAGGATTTATAAGAGAATTAGATATTTTGGGTGGGTAGGGGCTTCTTAATTAGCCCATGATTAATTTGATTTGATTTGTTTTGTTTCATTGGAAGGTACTATTTTGTCTTTAATTTTGTTGATTCTAAGAAAATGACCTTAATAAATTTGATCACCTTCAAAGCCGTCTAGTCTAATCTAAATCTAATCTAATCATTTTTTGTCACTTAGTTTTGAAGCATATAAACATGATTGAGTGAATGTCCCAAGGAAAAATAAAAAAAGTTAATATTCCCTTGTAAGAATAAAATTAATTATTATCAAAGATATTGTAATTAATGACATTAAAATTCCATTGCCCTGTCCGTTTTCTTCTTCTGCAATCCAATGGAGAATTCAAGATTTATTCTGGTTATGAATAATCATAATTTATAGTTATTAACTACCTTTGGGTGGCCGAATGATTCGATAGTTCAAGTCCTTCTTGGGTTACTAATAAGGATAGCTATTGGAATTCTTATCTTACCGGTAATTTTAGATAGTGTTTTAAAACCTGGCTCGGCCTAGCAGGTTTAATCGGGACTCGAGAGTTTCATTGGGTTGAGTTAGCAATTTCCCTATTCACCAAAAACCCTAGAATTTGGAATGATGATTGACAAACAATTAAAGGCTGGAATGTTGGAGCTTTTGAAGAAAAAGCGTCGTTGAGTGCAATGGTCGTGACAGGGTTGATTTCCGGTGAGTAAATTGGCCGAAAATTGAAAAAAAAAAACCAACGGCAGCAATAGCCAACTTTCGCCGGCAATTAGTGAGGCTAACAGGAGTGGGGTGAGGTGGGTTTTGATAAGGAGGAAGAAGGCAGTATTATTGGGGTGATGGGGAGGGTTTTCGACACCGGCGTCGGTGAGATTTAGCTTGGAATGTCGACATCGGTGTTAGTGAGATTTGGCCAAAATCGAACCAATTTTGACCAGATCTTGAGTAGATTTTCTAGGGAATGGGCTTAAGGGATGATTGGGATTGCATCTGGGGTATCGTCGCAGCCAACTAGTCGTGGACCGATTTGTATTTGTGGCGTGTTTGCTAAATTTCAAACCTGTAGGACTTACTTGTAGTTTTTAGGGGTGTATTTATTGAATTTTAAAAAAATTTTCATCCAGTTTGACTAGCCGGTCAAGCCAATTAAAACGGTCAACCTCGAACCCGACAACTTTGTCAGGTTTCACCCTGAGGTTATTATTAAAAATTTCAAGGTCCCGAAAGATTAGTTGGGATACGCGTAAGTCGACACGAACACCCCTTGTCATCAAAAAGAAGAAAAAAAAAAAAAGATTTATAGTTATTTAAATGAAAACTATAATGGAAAGGTGCTTGACTCTTGTCCATTATTAGAATCCTCGCCTAATTGAAGCTCAAAAGTTTGAACATACGGTAGAGAGAATTGGTGTACCATTTTCGAAAAAAAGTACATAATTGAATAGTTTCACATGCTGTGCTGAAATTAAGCCTCAAAATTTTCCTTTTCAGAGAGAAAAGGTGAATAAAAGTTTGACATTTTAAATTTGACTAATACAGAACCCAAGATCACATGTTGAAACTTGAAAGTGGTTGGAATATTTAGTACAAGGGGGTTGATTTTAAGGGAATATATATAACAACGAAAAGTAACATATACCTGATGTTAGGTGCCTGTCAATTAATACAATCTCTCATATCTTGATATACACACCATAAATATTTTACTTGTTTTTAGGTTTGATCTGGCAAATTCCAATTGATTATAGATTCTACATAAACAAAAGACATATGCAATTCCTCACACTAATAATAATATTTCGTCTTAAATTACGAATACAAAGCAACCTGAAACAACTTTACCATTGAGAAAAAACAACTGTATGTATAACACGCGTACAAATCATATACGAAAAAAAGCGGGAATTATTGTTTGCAAACCTTAAGAGATATAGGAAATACAAATTCTAAATGTGAAAAGAATGGAAGAAAGGCCATGTAATGTAAATGTGTTTATGGTAATTGGTATATAATCCAAATCCAAATTTAAGCACTTCCCTTGAGCTTTTTTGTGATGTTGGCAATGTACTTCCCCTGGTGGAAAGCTTGCTCCAATTCCAGCTCAGTTGGCTGTCTCGAGCCATCCCCAGCATAAGTTCCGGCACCATAGGGACTTCCACCCTTGATCTTCTCCATCTCGAACATACCTGCGCCAAATGTGTATCCGATGGGAACGAATATCATCCCGTGGTGAACAAGCTGAGTGATTGCGGTCAACCTGTAAAAAGAATTTAATAGTTAGTTTTCCTTCCTTGTTTTGAAGGAGTTTTAGTAATTTCAGTTAAAACTTAACCATGATATAGGAACTTACGCTGTAGTCTCTTGTCCACCACCTTGTGACCCGGTGCTATAGAAGATCCCGGCAGGTTTTCCTGCAAGTTGTTGGGTTCTCCAGAGACCACCAGTTGCATCCATAAAAGCCTTAAATTGAGCAGCCATCATACCAAATCTTGTTGGGAAGCCAAAAACAAACCCGTCAGCCTCAGCAAGTTCTTGGGCTGTAATGATTGGTACATCACTCTTTGGTGGTGCACTCATCTTGCCGAGCACCTCCTCTGGCAGCGTTTCAGCAACCTATTCCACATGCCCACTAAAATCAGTCTGGGTATCTATAACAACTTCTATAATGCAGAATAAGGAATTCATGAAAGTATCTTTACTTTTAATAAACTGTTAATGCACAGCCACTAGATTTTACAGTTTGATTTAAACAAGAGAGCAGAAGAAAATCATAACATATTGGCAATCAAATTAACTGAGAAACTTTAATGAAGAATGAATATGAATGGGTGACATGGTACAAAATT